AAGTAGAAAATAAAAAGGTAAATACATAAAGGCTATGAACATTAACATGAACATGACATTCTCAATAAAATGTGTGCAGAATTTCTTAAAGTTGTCATTTTAGTGCTAGAATAGTTACCACTATAAAAGTTAGCTGTTTACATGAATCTGTACAGTTTGATACCCCATTTTCATTAGTAATAGCTGTACTAACCCCAATAGTCCCCTGCTTGTGGCCCTATTGGTATAGTAGCTGATGTAGAAACCACAGTCGTGTGCCCTGCAGCTTTACAGCACTGTCTTGTCAAAGATGCCTCAGGGAGGAGCAAAAATGAAGCCGGCGTGTTATGGAGCGTCTACTGATGACAATGACGGCATCTGTGCAGTTTTCTCCTGGAATTGTTCCAGAAGTACGAGGAGGTCGTCTCCTTGTATGTCCCCTATATCTGGAGCATATTAATGAGGCAAAATGTTTCTTTTACCTGAGATTTGAGATACTGCACTTTATGAAGGTCATACAGTCCCATCAGGTCAAAAGGAATTTACTAGTATATAGTTTCTAGACTGGAGGGCAATTTGCCATGTATGAGGGTTTTTATTGTAGATTAATGTATTTCTGCTTTTACAAAAATTATAAAAGTTTCAGTACATTGCTGCCTTCCTATCTCCAGGTCAGTCTGTAGGGCTCAGTGGTACTGTGTGTATGCAAATGTCTTTCAAGGTCTAGCTGAATAATTGCCTTAAGCCTCGTGCATATGTATTTGCCTGAAAAAAATTCTAATAATGTTATGGCGCAGTATCATGTAAAAGACAAAAATGACAAGTAAATGTTACTGTATTACAGATTACAGACTTTCATTTGTTGTTTTGCTTTGATATAGGCTTTTTCCACCTTGAACTATATTACAGTATGCTAAGACTGCATAAAAATTGATCATTTTGTGGCTGTAAAGTCGGGCTAACAGCTTTACTGGCTAACAGGTGAGCCCGTCCAGGATTACCATCTGTAACTGCTAGTAATCAATCAGCTTTACTGGCCAGGTGTGTTGGATACACAAGGAATTTGACTCTTGTGTAAAATGTGTCAGGTTACAAGCTGCTTCATTCATGATGTGTGGAATCCAATTCTGGTGCTCTGACAGCAGCAGATTTCAACAAGTTGTCATTTTGAATTGACAATCATGTATGTCCCCTGCAAGACTAGCGTGGCGTCGGTGATCACATTTGGGCAGTTAAATGAAATCATGACCTACAGCCAAATAAAAAAAAAACAAATCTTGCTATATCTTGTCTACAGTGGAATCTGTAGCAACTGTAATGTTAGACCTTGGTTAGATACACCTGCACACAAACACCGTTTTTCGTTGTTTGGCAATGTCTTTTTCTAACATACACAGAATCATGATCAAGCTATAAATCTTATGTCATCAGGAGGTGCTTTTATAAAAGTCTGTCTAGACACTCAAAGTAAAAACAGCAGTGTGAACATGCACTGACACACAGCAGCAATAAACAGGTTGCAAGAAATGCTACCGTTTCAGCTGACTGCGTTGGAAATGTTTTGTATTAAGATTAGCTTTCAACACACACTGTACATGCAGACAGAGTATCTTCATTGTCCCATAGACAGGTTCTGCTTTCATTTTTTGTTCTTATTGTGTGCTTTGCTAGAGAGCTGACATCTCTTCACATCTTGGGGAACATATATTGTTTTCCACATCCAGTGAAGCAGTCTGCATTCAACTGAAACTGAACTGAGAAAGATACAACACATAGTGAGATGGCGTATGTTGTGTAATTGCAAAGTCATAGTAATAGTACAGATTACAGCATCATGGGGAAATCTGGGGCATTGAAGCAGCAAATTGCTACGAGATGCAGCAAAGAAAAGTATAACATGCTGTAGTAAATGGTGTCTGCTGCGCCAAGGTCGCACAGATCTGTGGCACTCAAGCAGCTCACTAAAGCCTGAAGGATAAATTTGGCTTGTTAGAACTTGTATCCTATTTTCATAATTTTCAATAACATTAATTGCTGAGACCTGGGAACATGGTGATACTGCGAATAAAGAAGTCAGACATGGCAAGGAACAAGAGCAGTTAGATGAACAGCCTTTACATAAACTTCCAATTTAATCGCAGTTATTTAGAGGAGAAAACAAAGGTGAATGGTTTAAAAGCAGCCAAGTATCAGACTGGCTTTGATTTATTGTTGCCGTCATTACAGATTTCATGTGTAATCCGTGCATTATGTACATTTCCTGTTTGTTTCTTGAATAGCTTTCTTTTGGAAAATGGAGAAAGGAGGCCTGGTTATTATTTTATTTTCTATGAAACATGCAACCACAATGTGAGAAGCTACAAAACAAGGAGAGAGTAATGGATGTAGAGAAATGGACAGAGAGAAAAGGGAAGGAAGAAAAGCTAGTGACAAATGAGTGCAGAAGTGACAGTGCGCAAAGGGTGAGGGAGCTCTAGTAGCTCGGAAACACAACGGAGAGACAAAAAATTGAGGAGGAGAAGAGTGTTATTGGGCATGATAGTCTGAGCCTGTTCTTTAATAATATTTCTCTCCTGTCCCTCATACACTGCAAGACAAGGTGGAGAGGACAAAAGATTGGGAGTCAATCATTTCAGATGTATGTTTGTGTAAGTGTGTGTGACAGAGCTCAGAGCTGTCTGTGTGTTTTCGTCTGTCATTATGTGTCTGTCAGCACAACAGGGACAGAGATAGACTTATCACACACTGGCACACATGCAAACACAGATCGCACTATGCACATACTGCTGGCAGATATCATCTGGAGAGTATACACACATTTGCATACATAGTGATGATGAAAAAAACCCTTAATTCTAACCTGTAGTAGTTAATTTAGTCATTCAGCCTTTACCTATTCATCCACTCATGCCTGTCAGTGCATTTGGCCATCTTTCCTTACACATCTTTAACCAGATAATTTTCTTTTTTGATGCACACATTCATTCCAATCTACATTTTGATAATGAATGAAAGGCTACAGTTTCTCCTGGAAAGGTATGTCTATGCGCATTTAATTGTAATCGCTTCTGAATTTAGTCAATGAAATGCTCAAACGGTTTAATAATGTGTGTATGTGTTCACAGTCTAATAACAGAAAGGACAATCGGATGTGTCCTCTGCAGGTCACTGTTTGTTGTTCTGTGATGCATCTTCATTTTGCCAGCTCATTACCTTGGTTTCACATGACAGTGGCTCCTGCTGGCAACATAGTTAAGATGCATGGACAAATCAGTTTTAGGCTGTTTTTGTTAGTTTGTTTATGTCCTTTTAGCTCTCTCCCCCACCTTTTTTCAAATTCTGGTGTTATTTTTCTGTCAGTTCTCCCTCAAGTTTCTTTGAGTTCTCTGTCTTACTGTCTCTCTGTTCTTGTTACTCTCTTTGCCTGTGTTTAAAGTTTCCCCCCCCCCACAACACTATTAATTTCACAGTATTGTAAGCAATGTTAAGATATTTGTTCATACTGTCACCAGCTTCGCTAGTGGGTGTGCCCAACCTGATATGTGGTGAAATGAATTATGTATGTTGACATTGCAAGTATTTGTTTTACTGCTGTCAGGCAAGAGGAAACGGTGTTAAATGAACAGTTTATTTTGTGGGAAATGTCAAACTTTCCTTGCCTGGTGCTGGATGAAAAGATACTGAAGATGCTGCTTTTTGTCTGTACACTAGGTGAAGGTACCTCACATTCTGTTGAATGTATTTTTTTTTTTTTTGGTGATGTAAGCTTCACATTCTCTATAAAGCTGGAGCCAGCCAGACAATTAACTTAGTTTATCCTAAAGAGTGGAAACAATGGGAGAAACTGTTGGTCAGTGGCAACTAGTGGCTGGTTGCCTGTAAAACCTGTTGTGTTTGTACTTCCGTTTTTTGCATGGATAAAACAAGTTATAACAAGCTAGATGTTTTTCCTAATTCCATCTTCATGCTGCTAAACTAATCTTTTTGCTAGCCTGCCAGCTCTGGTTCCATGATTAACCTGCAATCATCATGTAATGCTTTGGCAAGAAAGCAAATGTTTTCCAAAACTATCTGTGAATAAATAAATAAATTTCAATGTAGTGATGTAATATTAGATTTTACTTATTAACCCTATTCCTAACAATTATTGGACAGTTATTGCCAGTTAACTTGGCTTGCTACCGTACACCTGCATTCACAAACAAGAGGACACAAAAGTTTGATTTGAGTCAGCAGGGAGTGTCTCATAGAATGAAATGTTTCTATGCTGACCAGCTGGTGTGGCTTCACCACATTAGTCAGGGTTTTTCGCAAAGCGCTGCTTAACTTGAACTGCTTGTTGAGAAGCAGCAGGTTACCAGACTCTTGTTTACATTCACAGATTTCACATTATACACGCATGTGTTCTGTTCATTTCTCCTTATTGTGATAATAGTCCTGTGCTCATGAATAAAGCATCCCACCTATTACACTAGTCACAAATCACACAGTAACTGAAATGTGGTTTTATTATTGTTGTGGCTAATAGTGACATAACTCATTTGTTTCCTCAACAGTAGGATGAGCTCAGGTGGGTTGTCCAGGAGGTGAGAGTATTATATATTTTTGAGGTTGTATAGAATATTTGCCAGAATAAATTAACGGTAAATAACTGGAAAAACCACAATGGCATACTGTTGTTTCTCAGCTCCATTCTATTTAGTTTTTCCTTTAGTTTCTGTATCTGTTTCTTTGTTTAGCCCTCCCTCCCTTTCTCTCAACACGAACAGTCTCATACACAAATCATCTCCTAGCTTTCTTCTTGGAAGCTGGGTTTAATTTCAACAAAATGTGAAATGTTTCTGGCGGGCCACTTCCATTTGGATTTTGATTAATCCACCCTATTTCCTCTGCAGTAAAGGAAATGTGGAGCAGTAGTGCTGACATGTATTTTAAACACACACCTACTTGGTGAATTATCTTTAATGACAGGTTTTCTTGGTAATGTTTATGGTCTTTCTGTTTCTCTCCACATTTTTCAGGCGTGGATATGGACAACATGAGGTAAATGTCTTTCTCTGTGTGCATGCTATAAATTTGCCTTTGTGGTGTTCATTTTCATTTCCTCTGATTTTAAGTAGTTTCCACCTTTATTTTCCATCTTCCTTCTTTGTTCTGTTTAATGTAATCAGTGTCTTATATTTACAATTTATTGTATCTGCTGCCTGTCTCCCAAGTCTAAAACATTTTATAACACCATGAAGTTGATTTAATGGTTAAAATTAAAACTTGGCTTTTAGATATTATTATTACTATTAGTACTCCAAAACAGCACATGCAAACCAGACAAAATGGAAAACAAATATAACCAGATGTTCCTTGTTTAATATGCACCACAAGCGATAATACTGATAATCCATCCTCCAGACAGTTGCATTTGATTGCCAGATATCATTTGGACAGTATATACATTTTTAAACTTGTAAATAGTTTGATTTGAGATGAACTAGAGTTCCAAAGTAATAATGGCTCTTGGAAAGAAAAAAGTAATAATGCTTCTACAAAACTGATTGACAACACCAAATGAAGTCAGATACACAGACTGGCTCCTTTATTGAAGGATGTTGAATGAGGAACATCAGGTATTGATTTTATGCTTCCAAAATAGATGTAAACCATTTTGGGGCAGAGCGTCTAACTTCATAATTTGCCTTGTCATTCGCTGATTTTCCTTCCCTCTGGCAGACACAACAACTTTTGCGACCTTCTCTGCTCAGGCCAGAGGTACTCTGTCTCTCTCTCTCTCTCTCTCTAAACACTTATTTACTCCAAATGTGTGTTTTTCTGCCTGAGTGCTGTGAGTCATCTGTCACGTGGAGGTAAACCCACAGTTTTGTGTAGAAGTGCACGCAACACTGTAAATGAAACACTGGATTTAATAAAAAATAATTAGTGGACCTAAATTTTTTAAGCTTGATGTCAACGCCCATTTTAAATAAGGTAATTGCAATTTGGGGCCAGAAAAGCTGACTCACTCAATGTATTTGAATTTGATTAACTTAAACAAAATAAGCAGGGGAAATGTCACTTTTAGGGGTGTTTCTCTTGTTTTTTGTATTCTGAATAGTCCATTCATGTGTGTATAATCTTAAGTTATGGTTGTTTCTTTTCATGAGTGTAAAAGCAGGTTAGCTTTGAATTTAGTCCGTACACTTGGAATTCCACAAAGCTGCTTGTGGTAGCCTTGCATGTTGTTTGTACTGACTCTGGTCCAAAGTGCTCCAGCAGCTGTAGCTGTTATTTCTTCATGTGAAATAAACACTCTTCAATTGTAAAAGGAAAATAAACGTATCTGCAGCAATTGTTCAATGACTTAGTTCAGTCAACTTAATATCTTTAAGTTTTTAACTTGTTTCTAAGTTAATTTAACTGAGTTAGTGCCATATTTTTAAAACTTAAATAACTACATCTTACTCAATCCACGTTCATTCTAAATTCATTTTACAGAACTTGACAGTTATGTTTCTTATTTTTCTCAAGGTAATGTTTCCTTATTTTTTAAGTAAACTTGTTACAATTTACAGTGAAAGTTAACTGAGCTAAGGGATGTATTTAAATATGTAGACATGAGTGTGTGCAATGCATATGTGTCTTGTGTGTATAATGTTTGTGTGTGTGTGTGTGTGTCCTAGGTGCTAATAATGCTTTGTCAATCCCACAGGAGTTATCAATGGAATCTGGCATCGACCCCGGCCAGGACTACTACCCACAGGATTATTACAACTATGATCACGGGTTAGTACGTCTCTCTGTTGCATGTATGTGTTGTATATTGGTTGTATGTACATATTTACTTGTCTGTAATCTTAACAGAGGTTTATTTGCCACTATTTCTACTCTTCAACTTTTGCTAAATTCAGATCAAGTTGACAAAAGAGTATCACCCCAAGGGCCGCTCAGTAGCCGTTCTGGAGCTTTCACAATCTTCCTCAGCAAATGGAGCCATGCAGTTGTTCAGCACTTCTTGTTTATAGAGGCTGAGATATAGAGACTGAAGGTTCCACTTGACCAAACAGCGGCTGACAAACAAACAAGGCCCACTTAGTGGCTGTTTTTGAGCTTTCAGTGGTATCACAGAATCTTCCTCAGCAGATGAAGCTGTCCAGTTTTCAATGTAGATAATTTTTCTGAGCACTTTTAAGAATCTGTATTAGTTTAAAGGTCGAAGCCAATGACGCAAAATCATGTTAGCCTCCTAAATTCAAGAGGTACCCACCAATACCAAGCACAAAATACTGTACAGACTTTGCAATATATAGAACACACATAACCAGACACATTAGAGGTTTTGTTTAGGAACAAGGCCTCTAAAGACTTATGGCATCCCTCCCAAGTGTGTGTGTGTGTTATTCTGGAACCAGCGTACCATCTGTGATGTCATTTTAGTTGCAGACTCCTAGGAACTTGGTTTTATATACCCACCCACACTTGCACATAAATACACAGTAGCAGACACGAATTCTCTCATGGCAACACATTCGTGCACTTGCTTACTCACTTTCATGTACTCTCTCAGAAATGCTCTTTTGCTTGTTCTTGCTTCACACACACGCACACACGTGAACACACACAGCTCATTCTCTTCCCAGCATTGCGGTACTGCAGCAGCTAATCAGGCAGCCGGCCGTGGAAGCAGACAATGAGCCAGATGCTGATGGCTTAGAGACCAACATTCACAAACTCATGTCTCTGTACTCTGGATGTACACAGGAGCAGGAAATCAGACTCCATGACTCTGTGGGACTCAGATCTAATCACTTTATTTGTTTGAGGTGTAAATGAAAGCCTCATAAGACATAGCAACATTTTTATGCCTGAGATTTGCTTTTGGGAAATACACAATAGCTATTCCATTAGTTACTTCCATAACTACAATATAGTAATCCACTTGGAAGGATGCTTCATAACCTTTTGACCCTTCCCTTCATCTGTCGTCAAAAGATGAAATAAAAATGGGATATTCTCTGCATGTAGGAATGTAGCCATCTGCCATTGGCAGCATTCTGATCGGATTTGTACAGATGCAGAAAATAAATATTTGTTATACAGGGCTGATGTTTTGATGCCTGTCTTTAAAAAAAGCCAAATTCATGTTGCCCTCTAGTCACCAGTAAAATACTCAACCCATACATGCCACTGAGCAATAAGGGATTACACAGCATACCAGTTTGCAATATGTCTTACCTTTTTATTTGTTATTATAGCTACAGTTTATATTTATATTTATAATACCTTGTCTGTTACTGAGTGCCTCTTTGCTGCTCTAATGGTGTGAATTTCCCTGTCATGGGACTAATGAAGGTCTATCTTATGTTTGTGAAAAATAGGAAAAACATTTTTAATTTTCATATGTTGAAACAGAACTTTTAATATGAACACTGCAGTAATACTGCCAGCAATAAAATTTAAAATGTGCTTTATATATATATTTAGCATCAGAATTGGGTTTTTCTGTCAGTTTTTAAGACTTTTAAAGCATAGAATAGTAGTCCTCTTTGTCAGGTGTTGGCCTCTTTACGGTGTGAGTGTGCTCAAACATCCAGACACTGATTATCATTAAACAATCATTTAGCAGCTGGAAACAGACTAGTGACCCAGTGTGGTCCAGTTTGGTCCACACACACCCAAAACGCTACCAAAACACACTATTAAGTGTTGGATGGGATTCCAGTGATTCTGGCAAGGAAATGATTGTCAGATCATTAGTGCCCCCTAATGGCGAGAGGGGGAGGAGGAGTGAAGACAGGGAAAACAGTCCTAAGAAAGAAGCAAATGTAAGCAAAGAGTTACTGTAGCCTTTGGGTAATTTGATTGTGTGTGTACTTCAGTTTGCAGGTTAATGGCTGGGAAAGCCCCTAAGCAGATTTTAGTGGAAGGTTAAGACGCATTCCATTAGCTTGCATAGGCCATACTGGAAGGATTATAACTGTAATGTTTATGACTGGCCTGGTCTTTCTCTTTTGACTCTTTCATAGTTCACTTGTTATTTTTCTTGCCTATTTTTTCCTGTTTCTTTCTTCCAACCCCCCACACACACACACCTTTCATCCACGTGCCCTTTCCATTTGTTTATTACTTGGCTACTTAATGTAATGGGAGGGCAGCTTCTTCCACACGCTGACTGTAGGCAGAGTGATTACACGAGGCAATTTTTCTGTACAACGATGCCAAAGGACTTCAAGCAGATTTGTTACTTTAATCACACTGGGACATATTGTTTCCAGGATAGCATTTGAAAAGATGTTTTTTGACCCACTGGCTCTCAGAGTTGCTTGCTGCAGGGCACAGAGCCCAAGCGGTGACACACAACACAGTTCTTTTGGCCCATGGAGGCAGGCAGCGCTCCCAGCAACAGGCAACAAAGACAATAGGGAGAAGAATCAATTGCGGTATTTTCTGCTAACAAAATGTCTCCTGGCAACAAAATGCTCCTTTTGTGATTAAGGCAGCTTTGCTTAGGCGAGTCATTAGACACTGCTTATCATCAGAGTGAACCACAGTGCGGCCCTGCGTGTTGCTGCTTTAAGTGGCTGTGGATAAGCACTAGCCGAGTGCAACAGTTTGGTTTTGTAAAGCAGATTTCTCAGGTTTTCATTTCTCATTGGCTGAAGCTGGGGTAAAATAACATGGCACATCCCAAAATGACAACTGCATCACTTATGAGGAAAAATGACCCTTAAAAACGAATAGCAGTAAAAGTGAACATTAGTATTTTCTGCCCTGTACAGCTTCTTATTAATCTGTAACATTCTGCTTTGTTTTTTCTCCATCCCTCTCTGTCTGTCCAGGTATGACCTTCCTCAATACAGCAGTCGCAGGAAGCTGATCTCACCCTCCGGGCTTTATGATGAATATGGAGAAGTGGTGGTCGATGATGACGGGAGCTACTACTACAGCCCACAGGAGTCTGACGGAGAGGTAAACACAAACTACTGTCATTGTAGAAACAGCACACACAGGAGGCCACTGATGGCGACGGCATTTTCACAGTGTTCTGATGGAAATGAAACAAATTTTCAACTCAAGATTCACTTGCTAATCTTTCTGGAGCTTTCAACCTTGAGTTAATGTTTTTTATTTTTTTGTAAACTACAGTTTCTGTCAAGTATGAAGCTATCATTTTTACCACATTAATACACTGCCAGACTGCTTCAAAGGAAAATACCACATTTAAAATAGAATTCTATATAATTATAATGGCATTTAGGGTAATAAGCTTTGGGGGTGTCTTTTTTTTTATTCGAAAACGTGTACAGGAGTAAAAACATTTGAACTGTAATAAGCTTGAATTCAAATGTAGAGTTTATAAGTGCATCACTGTGATCTCAACCGGAATGGACTGGATGTGTGACATATGGATTGTGTTCAAATTAGTTAGAATGAATTACATGTGGCAAAGTGATAGGCCTAATATGCTCGCTTGCATCTGGTTTTCAAGTGGATTTATTCATGTTCATTTATTTGAGACAGAATATTTTATGCCTTATGTCCCCTTGTAGTATTAATCTCATCTGAGTGTGGCTTAACTTTCAGCAAGAAAACAAATGTTTGTAATCCCAAAATGTTGAAGTCTGCTATTGAAGATTTAAGATGTACTCCAAGCATTCTTATGAGTGCCATCTTTTTTAAATGGAACACATTGATATATCTATGCTATGTTCATATTATATCACTTTTCACTGTAATACCATTGAAAGCTCTTCACAGCAGCTCTCCTGCAGAAGAACTGGTGATAAAATGTTAACATGTGCTCCTAATAATACTCCTGACATTAACAGTGATTATGCTTGTCTTATTTGTTCCTTTTTTATTTGACTTTGGACTGATATCATGACAACAGGTGACAAGACAGTTTCAAGGAGACAAATTAACACCACACCCACATCCTGCACCTATTCTGCCCCCAAGAAAACCCCCAGAAGCCACCAGAAGTGAGGGGGACAAAAAACAACCACCACAGAGTGCTACGACCACAAACACAACGTCCAAGAGCTCAAGCACAGCTGCCAGGTTGAAGGCTATGATGAGAATGAGTATGGCGCCGTCCTCTCAGAGCAAAACATCTGGACAGCCTCCTGCCATCCACCTACCATGGAACAAAGCCAGAATTGGACCGATGGAAGAGGGGGATGGTAGCAGAGTAAGGTTGGAAGAAAGAACGGGCGAAGGAGCAGGAAAATGGTTTGAGAGCAGGGAGGCAGGGGAAAGGGAAAACAAAGGGAGAGAAAGAGATGAAGGAACAAAAAGAGGAGGTAGAGAAATGGAAACATGGGGGAGAAACAACAGAAGCAGCAGGACAAACAATGCTGCTGAAAGTGGACAAGGCATCAGGCCAGAGCACAGGGCAGAGCTCCCTGGCTTCTTGTCCTTTGGCCGGTCTTATAGCCTAGATGGCGGCATGGTCATTGATGGGAGTTACTTCCAGACGTCCGTTGAAGCCAGCAAACCCCCTCCGGTGAAACAAAAGCTGAGCGAGGCCCTTAGTCTTATCTCCCTTGCCAGAAGGCTCCAGGGACCCGCCAGAGTGGGAGACAAACAGTGGAGCAATGGAAAGAGCTGGGACAGAGGAGAGGAGAATAGCAGGAAGATTTATGGCTCCATAGGAGATATGAGTATTTCTGCATCAGTGTCTGAGAGAGCCCGAGGAGAGGACAGAAGAAGGTGCGAGTCAAGAGAGGAGGATAGTTCCTCTGAGGGATGGTGGAAGAGAGGGAAAAAAGTTCATGACAGTGATTCAGAAACAGGAAGTGACAGCAAGGAATCTCTGTCAGAGATTAATTTGTCTGAAACAGGTAGCTCTACCTCAACTGTTAGGGCCAAACATGAATCTGACACAGAAACGGAAAAAAATGACTCAGAAACAGACAGGGAGTCAGAGAGTGGAAGTCAGGATGAGGAGTCAAAGAGGGAGTCAGGGTTAGAGAGTGAGGATGAAGACACAGAGTCCAGCAGAAAACACACAGGAAGTAGTGTTAGTAATAGTTCTAGTAGGAACAGTGGTAGTGCCAATGTAAAGAGAGAGAGCGCGAACAGACAGCAAGAAAGGAGCAGCCGATCCATAAACAGACGCAGCGGCGACGACTCTAAAAATTCTAGATATTCAGGTTCTAGAGTCTTGAGTTCTAGGCCCAAAATGTCTAGACACTCTCGTAAAATGACAGAAGAGAGTGAGGAAGAGGAGGAGTCAGAAGCAGACATCATCTCAGGAGTGACTGACAGCTCGAAGGACTTATCGCCCATCGTCGAGGACTCAGAGGGGGAGCAGATGAGCAGAGGTCACGGCGGGGACAGACACTTGGAAAAAGACAAAAACGGATGAGGCCATAGCCCACCTCCTAATAATAAGTTCTTTACCACAAAGTAAGACCTTGGTGAAAATGCCTGGATTGGGTGTGCAGTCATTACCTGTGTGAGGTTTAGGACTGAAATCTCACATTTTTCCTTGTGTGGTGTGATTTATGTTCACAGGAGTTTAAATTGCCCGCACGTCCTCTTCTGCCCTCACACAGTTTCTCTGTCGGTGTTTCTAACTCCTTTCTCTAATCCCCTATTTCCAGTCATCTTATCTCCTCTTACGCCTTGTCTATCTCATCTTCCTTTATAATCGCTCTGTTACTCTTGAAGTGGTCCAGTGGTTTACTTCATCCTGTTCTCCTATGCTGACTTGTCTCATCTTCCTTTTGTGAACGCTCTACTCCCAGATGCTTATTTCTCTGCTGCAGCTCAAAGATTATTCACTGACCTGTCTTTGTTACACATAGCAGTCGCTCAAGCTTTTTTTCATGCGTCATAGATCAGTCAGCTCTTCCCGTACCTGCTATCTGCAGGGGAAAAAGATGTTTTCTTTGTAATAGTGAACATTTTCTCTTACATATTATCAAGGTTAAACAGAGTAATGTTGTATAATACCAAGTCAGAGCTGGTTTCACAATTACAGTTTTATTCTTCTTAAGTGTGTGCATGTGCACGCAGCAGTGCAGGTCTGATCTAAGGAGAAGTATTTACTGTTACATAGTGCTTTGTGTCATGAATCCAATGTGGTGATTAATATAATGTATGTTTTAAAAGCATTTGCGCAAAGCTTTCTGTAATGATCAGTTTTAGCACCACATGATCCAAACATTTGCTTGGAATTGCAGAGTAAACACTGTTGCACCTACAGTTTGTGTACCTCTGTCAATATATTACAGTACAAAACATTAAAAGTTAGGAAATAAATGAAAATAGCCACAAATGACAGAACATTTAGTTGAAAATGTTCATTCTGCTGATCTCTAGTAGTTTAGGTTCATGCCCCTGCTGTCACTGTCCAATGTGGCTACAGGTGATACAGGCTCCAAACTTCTAACCAGAATAGGTCACAGTGAAACCTGGGGTTAAAGGATAGGTTCAGCTTTATTCCTCAACTTGATCTTGAAGAATTAGGCCAGTCCTTTTTTATGTTAATATTTTTTTTTTTGTATTTTCCATACAGAGACTAAAACTGACAATGCATCGCCTCTACTCATGGTTAATGTCTGTCAGCTGTCAGTCCTGGATTAGCTTGTTAGCTTGTGTAACTGATCTCCGCTGTTGTTCAAAAATGATTAAAAACACATCAGAGAAACACACCACTGCACCAGATGACACGTTTTTTCATTACAAAAACCCAGACCTGACTGTTGCCCCAAAGGCTCCAAGAGGTCATAATTTCCTGAAGTTAGCACAAGTCAGAGACAACTGCGCATGCACAAGAGTTTGAGGGATCTCTCTGTTTTGTTTACTTTCTGCTAGCTCCTCATGTTCGGCTCTGGTGTTTGCTAATGAAGAAACATGTCACACAGTGCAGCATCGTGCTTCACTGTTGTTTATAATCGTTTCTAAACAACAGCGGTCTACAGCAGACGAATAAGCTAAGGACTGAGACACTAACTGCGAGTAGACACAAATTTTAGTCTCTGTATGGAGAAAATGACCAACCTTTCCCTTTAACTCAGACTGCTGAATCCTGATACAGTATTAGTTTCAGCTGTGCATACTGTATTTATTTTTGAGATGCAGCACTGATCGTGTGTCAAACTGCAGCATGCAACCACTATGTGAGGACTTTTTTGTGTTGTCTGAACAAGTGAAACGTGATTCAGCACTGACAAAACCTCTAAAGTGTCAGTAGTTTAATGCTCTATTATTTGTGTGATTTTCCAGCACTGCAGCAGAAAACGTCGAATCAAGTTGGTGTTGGACCGAGAGTATGAGACCAGCTCCACTGGTGAAGACAGCATGCCGGAAACCCAACGTAGCCGCTTATTCTCCACCTTCAACAGTCACGCCAACGTTAACGGCAGTATCTGCGTGGCCCAGAATGGTTCCATCATCCGCACCCGACGTTCAGGAAATGCCACAGGTCCCACACACACCACTACCACCGCTGCGGTCACCACCACAAGCAACAACCTCAAACCCACCTCCCCTGTCTTCAGCTCCCGGCTGGCCAAGCACTTTAAAAAACTGGACAAAATGGCTGCCACATTTGAGGAAAGTGTACCCCTGAGCCACCCCAGAACAGCAGCAGACAGTGGGTGCAACACCCTGCGCACCTTCCAAAGTTCAGGAATGGCCGCCTCTGCCACGGCCCCTTGTGCTTTTTCCAACACTAACAGCAATAAAACGCTGAATGTGTTTAGCACTCGACAATCCAGCATTTCTTTAGGCTCAAGCAGAACCAGCAACACGGGCCCTGAATGTGTAGCGTCTAAATCAAACCTGCTCTCAGTGGCGCAGGGCGGCACGGAGCAGGCTCAGAGCACAGCAGAGAGAGATGACTTGAAAGAAGGAGAGAGAGAGTCAAAGGTGGATAGCACTAATGATAATAATGACTATGGACTTGTTATGAGGGAGCCCTTGGAGTGCCCAAGTGACAGAACACAGTCTGATGAGGAGGAATTATGGATGGGCCCATGGAATAGCCTTCACATACCCATGACCAAGCTCTGACTGATCCTGATGCTACTGTGTTCACACCTTATTGCCAAGATCAGTAAAGCATTCAGACATCACCTCTGTTTGTTAGTTGTGGAACTAATGGGGATGCTCCGGTCCAATTAAAAGAAACCTAATTAACAAACTGGAATTTGGCTAAATAGCAAATTAGTGTATCCTGGTATTCAAATTGAATGTTAAGACTCCCCACATATTGCCTAAAATAATTAAAATTTTCTGTTTAGGTTTGGAGACGGACTATAAAAATACATGGAGTACGAGCAACTTAGAATATAATTTTTCCAGTTTACTTATTAACATTGCTTATTTTTCATATTCCAATCAGAGCATCCCTTAAGCCCAGCTAATCTCAGAGCTACACCTTCATAAAACTTTACCTAGAATAAGAGGACTTGTTATATTTCTACTTTGCTAAGACATAAAGATGTGAACTTGAAAAAAAAAAGTTAATGAACTTTTTATGGCCCTTTAAGTGACTTGTGTCTGTATGGATCCACAGTTTGATTTAGTATTATGGCTATCGGTGCGACTCATCATGACTTTGCCTGATGCTTCTCATTGATATATCAAGTCTTGTATTTGTCAAACTTGCCTTTTTATCCTTGTCAAGTTGCTTGGCAAACTTTATCCAAATAAAAGACTATTCTGTCCATTGAAACATTAAGTTTGGCTAAATTGGCTCCGAGTTGGTCTCTTCTCAAGAACTAACAAGACATGACCATAGTGAGATGTGACTTTCTGAAAGTCAGATGGGGGAGGGGGGTGCAGATTGAACACTTTTAAAGGCTAGTGTGACATTTTGGAAAACATGCTTATTAACTTTCTTGCCAAGCGTGAGATGATTAATGCTACTGTTTTGTTGAGTAGGAGCTAGAGCCAGCATGTTGTTAGCTTAGTTTAGCATAAATCCTGAAAAGGTAGCAAAATCACCTGCTAGCGCCTGTGCTGCTCACAAATTATATTTAGTTTTAATTCATATAAACACTGAGGAGTGTTAGTCTTTATACATGAGACATTAAGTGGAGAAAAATATTCCATGTAGAGATCAGCGCAGATTGGAAATGGCCAGTTTTCAGTGTGATTGACTGGTCAATCATTCTAAGATATCTGGTTCTGTGACGGTCAGATTTAGTGCACGTTGCAGTGGCGCACAAAGCATCTTGCATGCACCTCCTGCGACACTTGTACTGAATGAAGGAGGAAATTTCTCTCAGTGAATAAAATGGTCTGCAGTTAGACAATATTGCTTCTAAATCCAGGTTACAAGTTTTTCCTAACACTGACATCTTTGCAGATGAAAGGGCAAAGTCAGATTAAAGTGGTAACTAAAAGCTGAAATTCAGAAAAGTTGTCTAAATATTATCTTTTTTTGGCATTAAAAAAATCTTTGCATTTTGTTTTAATTGAACAGATATTGTTTGGGACAAGGATTATTGTTTATTCTCCAATTCCATTGAATCCCTAAAAGATCCACTTAACAGAACACATGTATCCATCTCCCTGACCTAAATTCACCACCATTAGGGCAGGGGAACTTTGTTAATTGTGAGCCACATTACAGTGAATTGTTTTATTTGATGTTTGAAAGAATCTGGAGCATTATGCAGAATTACCAGATTTTAAGTCTCACATTTAATTTGATGACTGCCTAATTTGCATTAAGGAGCTCAACAGAGGGTGTCAGACCGGTAGCGATATTTGAATGGGACTGCTCCGTATTACACAGAATTGGCACACTGTACCAGAGGGCAGCATTTTAAACAGTTTCTTGAAGGGAGGACATGCCTGAGCCGCTGTTACTGATTCAGCTAAATGAGCAGAGCATGTCACTTATGTCCTGAGTCCACTGTACTTTATTGGAGAAGGCAGCCTGATCTGAGCTCATTAATCTATGATGCAAGCACAAAAGATTTGATTTAGTGATTTTAAAGGGGGAAAAGCTGATCTGTGTCTCCTCAACTGGTTTGGTTTTCTGTGTTTGGTTGTGTTTCTGTACCTCATGCCCTTTTCTGCATTTGATTGTATTTTCTACAATTCTAACACATTTCCTCATTTTCTAAATTTGGCAGCACAGCGGCTAGCACTGTGGCCTCACAGCAAGAAAGTTCGGGGTTTGAGCCCGGGCCAACGCGGGGCCTTTCTGTGCAGAGTTTGCATGTTCTCCCTGTGCCTGTGTGAGTTCTCTCCAGGTACTCTGGCTTCCTCCCACAGTCCAAAGACATGCAGCCTAGGTTGATTAGTGACTAACACCACTGTATTTGGTAAGGCAGGTTGGGTTTCGATTCCCTGTTAGGGCCCTTAGCAGGGAGATGCCTTGCATCAAACCAAGCACCCCCTTATCTGCATTAAACAATAGTAGAAACCAGTAAAAGTTCTAAATGTCTGCATATTAAACAGGTGACATAGCTCAGTGGTTAACACCACTGACTTTTGTACAGCACTTTGGGGTTTGAATCAAAAATTATTTATATAACACTTTAAAAACAACTTCTGGTTGACCAAAGTACAAGGACAAGATAAGAACTAAAATAAATAATATCAATAACAAGAATAAAACAACATAGGAACATAAACACATGTTCAAGCTCTGTGTGCTTGTCTGTTGGACTGCAATAACTGTCAGCTCTTACTAACACTTCAGCTTTCCTAATGTAAACAGTTCTAATCCAGTGTCTGTTTTATTTGTTGTTGCTGCACATCTCTAAAAGATCGAGTGCCAAGACTGAGTTATGCTTCTTTGTGCAATATATACTTGCACAGACAATTTGTGAAATCATTCAACAAGTATTAAAACTTAAGTCATTATTTTGAAATGGTATTTCATCATTCTTAATAGAGTTTTTAGGGGTTATATTTATTGTGATTATGGACATCATTATTTCATAATGCCTTTTTATGTCCCGTTACTGTGGTAGCCTAGATGGTGATGATCATGCTGCTGTCTGTGATTCTGCAACAGACATGTTCATGAACACAGCAAGTCTAGAACAATTCAAAGTAGGTCAACCATACTTTGTGTGTATACACACACTTTAAGTAGGCCATTTCAACACTTTTCATATGTATAATTATACAGTGCACCTGAAGACCTGAGTACATAAACTCAGAACATGGAGGCATGTGGACCAGTGGAAAAACCCAAAGCTTTGTGGGCTCGCACTACAAACATCAAGATGGTAAGTAAATTGTCCAGGCCATTGTGAAATGTTGCATCAAATTTAGTGATGGGCAAATGATACCGACGGGGGCTTGGGCAGCGATGGCGCACTGGTGATGGGGACATGGACGGCCATGGCTCACTGGTGATGGGGACATGGACGGCCATGGCTCACTGGTGATGGGGACATGGACGGCCATGGCTCACTGGTGACGGGGACATGGACGGCCATGGCTCACTGGTGATGCGGTTGATCCACCGCAGATCTTTTGGAGTTAAAATATAATGTGTAGCGTTCTGTGTGTATGCAGATATAAGGTTACTTTATCTGGCGTTAACGGGAGTTTAGTGTTGGCGTGAAGCGTTAGCAAAGCTCTGCTAGCAAGAAGCCTTTCGGGCTGAAGACAAACCAGCCATGGGTCCTCTGATTATGTGGTCAGCCTTCCGATACCCTATTATTTTGGTTTAGTATGTTCATTTTAACGATATAATTTGTTAAAACTTGCATCTATGAGATTTTGGCGGTAACTAGCCACCTATCCCCCGTTGGCTCTGTAGTCTGACTGACAGCGTTATGGGAAGTGTTACATATCTAATATATCTGGACTAGATTGACTTAATCATGCTTCTTGTTTTAAACACCCAACACGTTCACTAATGTTTAGAGGACACTGGTCTTTGACACGGATTTCTTTGTTGTAGTGGACAAACCTTTTTTAGGTTGGTACGTGAGTATAGTTTTTCTGCCATGTCTGTGTGAGATGGAGCCTCCGTTTAGATTGAAGTCCAAACAAACCATCAGCTGCCAGTCTTCATTAACGGTCTGAAAAGCCTTTTGTTTAAATTAAGATCATATGCAAAATATCAGGTTTCACTGACTGTGGAAACAATGCCAGGATTTAATGACTTCAACAATCATCAGTAACTTCACGTTAAGGAATGGTGTCCTGAGAATTTCAAGTCAAATTTGCATGGCCTGTTTCATAAATTGAGGGTAAACAAAATTGTTAAAGTGTGTTCCTTATAGGCTTGATGGCGACGAACCCAGCAGAGGGACGACATCAGCAGTCTGGCCTTTTCTTGGGACTTGCCACCAGTAATTCAGAAATGGTGAGATGACCTCTTGTATTTCCAGTTTTTTTGTCTCCCCATGATTTTGTCTAATGTGCCCGCTAAAAAGCTTTTGCTTCAAAATGAAGCAGTTTGCAGTTTACCCAGGTGAACAGAAAATACATACCAAGGAGACGAGGGATGACGTCTACAAAACGTGTGAGAGTTTAATAACTATAACGGACAAAATGGAGCAATTGGAAGTACAGTCCAAGCGAAAAAACTTGATTTTTGAGGGAATCAAGGAGACAGCTGGAGAAAGCTGGTCAGAAGCGGAATGCAAAGTGAAGGAGATTCTGAAAAATAATCAGCAAATTCATCAAGAAATTGAGATGGAGCGGGCTCACAGAGTCGGGAAACCTTCGGATCGTGGTCCGAGCGTGGTATTGGTGAAGTTGATGAAAGAGAAAGATAAGACACAAATATTGCAACAAGCAAAGAAGGATCTATTATTTATATAAATGAAGATTACATCGAGTACGTGAGGAAGAGAAGGGAGTTGATGCCGAAGTTAAGGGAGGCCAGGGCGAGGGGAGACATCGCGTTCCTGAGGTATGATTGACTAGTGACCAGACCTCGGAACCAGGATCCAGGACCCAGGACCAGCACGCCCAGGATGCCAAGACAAGGAGATGAAGGGGTCGCTGGACCCTCAGAT